GTTTTATGATTGGGGCATCAGTGGAAAGGAATTCAAGACTCCTTAAGCAATTTTACATGAAAGTTGTAATACTTTACCATTTATAATTGTAGAAGCAATTTAAAGAATTCTTCAAAATAAACTGATACTAATACAAGGTAGAGTTTACTGAGTCATAGTAAGTATGGCTTTACGTCAGATCTGAGATGTGCAGATATACCCAGTGTGGAAGACTCAAAAATAAACTATTTAATCTAACTTTTATTAGCAGTCAAATCTATTTTCCAATTTTTTTAAGGTATGCTTTTTGGTGAGGAAGATTGGCTCTGAGCTAACACCTGTTGCCAACCTTCCTTTTTTTTGTTTTCTCCCCAAAGCCCTGGTGCATAGTTGTATACCCTAGTTGTAAGTCATTCTAGTTCTTCCATGTGATGCCACCATAGCATGGCTTGATGAGCAGTGTGTAGGTCTGTGCCCAGGATCTGAACTAGTGAACCCCAGACTGCCGAAGTGGAGTGTGTGAACTTAACCACTTGGCCACGGGGCTGGCCCCCCAAATTTTTAAAATTAAGGTTCCTTCATGTTCTTCTGGAGTCGTCAGACAATGCTGGGAAATAATTTCCTAGATTTGCTTAGAATTAATGAGCTCAGGATCTCTCGTTGAACAGTGTGGTCCCCCCCAACCCCCCGGTACAGTTCACGAGCAATGTAATTTGCTGTCACTGTGCAGGGGATTCCCATAGTGCTCTCATTCATGAAAATAAAGTGGTCAAAGGGAAAGACTTTCATAAAGAATGTTTTTCTGTGACATAATCCCTTCTAAAACAGAAAACACTTTATTTAATAAAGTTCATTTAGGACCAAATACAGTATAAATGCCACTGTAACAAATAGACTTCAAACATAGAAGAGGCTGAATATTACATTCTTTTCTATTGGCTTCCCTGGTTCTATGCCAAACATGTCTTGGCTGCAACAAAAGAGTGAGGAGACTTTGATATTTTGGGGAGAAAAAGAACATAACTATGGGGGCTCTAGAAGGGTGTAGCTGGAATCTGGCACTTTGTAGAAATTTTGGAAAATGAATGAAGCTCTTTTACAGTTGTAACCCTATAGGTAGGATCTATTTACAAACGATGGAAACTTTATATTATATCCCTATAAAAACCTAACCCTTGCCAATGTGTCCTACTATTTATTTAGCAGCAACAGTGAAACATATGGTTTTGTTCAGAGATTCAAGGTTGAAGAACAGGTTTTATGTCCAAGAAAAAATCTATTTTGAAGGTAAGAAGAAAAAAAAAAAGATAAGCCTTTTTACTTTAAAAGGAAGGAAAAACCAATCATAGCTATTTGGGACAAAGACCAAAACCTTTTCAACCCACTAAGCATGAATTAAGAAAGAACACTAAAAGGAAGAAAATAAGCAGCTGCCATATTAGTCCAAGAAGTTCAACAGGTGTTTGTTGTTAAGAGCTACAGAAATAATGCAATAAAATCTTGACATATTACAGGGGCCGGCCCGGTGGTGCAGTGGTTAAGTGCGCACATTCTGCTTCGGTGGCCCGGGGTTCACCAGTTCAGATCCTGGGTGCGGACATGGCACCACTTGCAAGCCATGCTGTGGCAGGCGTCCCACATATAAAGTAGAGGAAGATGGGCACAGATGTTAGCTCAGGGCCAGTCTTGCTCAGCAAAAAGAGGAGGATTGGCAGCAGATGTTAGCTCAGGGCTAATCTTCCTCAAAAACAACAGCAACAAAAAAATCTTGACACATTACAGAACCAAAACAAACAAAAATAACAAGAAAATAAAACCAAAACAAGAAATTACTCCACAAATAAAACAACATTTCATGTTAACTTTAAGAATCTGGTATGGCAGTTGCTTTTCTCAAAGGACTGAAACAATCTTGACCCCAGCTGCTGCTTATTTTATCTAGCAATAGACTGTTTAAAGATGTATCACTTCTGGTGAAGCTATTCATTTCACCCAAACTGCATACAGCTTAGGCCTCAGAAGAGAACTTTCTCACCTACAGGCGGTATGCACAGACTACATACAACACTTGTGCCTGATTCTGAATGGTATCTTATATCAAAACGCTCCCTTAATTATAGCTCTTGCTTCTCAAGCTGCTCTTTCAACTTGTCAGAATCTGCCTAAAGACACTAAAATTGGATTCATGCAGAAAAAAATATATTTTAGGAAAACATGCACAACAAGCACCTAAGTATCTGCTAACAATAAAACCAGAAGTCAGTGTGCTGCAGCACATATAAGACAGGCTGTAAAATTTAATAATTCACAACATTCACTCTGAAATATGGCAATCAGTTAAAATGGCACAATCGTTCCATCTGTTCAATAAATATTTATTGAGCATCTATACACTAAGGACTACACTGGGTGCTGAGGATGTAATGATTAGCAAAATAAACACACAAAACTCTACAGGTTTGTATGGTTTCTAAGGCTGAAAAGCAAAGAGAAAATAAGGTCATTCTCTGATTTTTCAGTAGAGCCAGCCATCCCCTATCCCCACACCAATTATGAGGGAGTTGAGGCCCACAAGTTTTTGAATAAGTCAAGTGTGATATTCACAGGAAACTGCCTCCTGGAGTCTCAGTGCAAATAGGGCTAGATCCTTGAGTGAGTCTATTTAACACACGTTGCCCAACTATTGTAGTTTTCTAAAATCTTATTGCTATTTATAATGCTGCTCCTGGAAAATGCTTTCCAAGTTCTAAAAGGAGTCACCATGAACAAGGTTCTTCCTGGTTCAGCCTAGGCAGTGGAACTCTTCCAGTTCTAAGCTGGTAACTCCTATGGAGAGGAGAGCCAGGGGTCTCAGATGAGAACCGGGGAAAGAAGTGGGAAAAACAACACGCATTAGAAGTGAGGATTAGGAAGAAGCTCAAACTTTCCCCAATTCTTCTTTTTCTTCACTGATCAGACAAATATGGGATAAGAAATGGGACGGTGTCCTGGGTTTAAGAAGGTTAGGACTACTGGTAATAGTGGGACAGGGTTATAAAAAATAGGATAGTTTTCAGAGATGTACAGGGAAAGGAAGAGAAATCACCAACAGTGATAAAAGGGAAGGCTGTGGATGTGGCAGAAATGAGTCACCAACCAGAGTGAACATTTCTACGTAATATATATTGGCAGGGGAGTCATGAAAAAATTAGGCACCACTGAGAGCACACTAGAGACACCCATTCAAATGTTTAGCAACCACTGACTGTCCCTTGGATATGCGGTACATGATATGCACTGACAGAATATAAATAAAGGGAAAAGAAGAAATGAATCCTACACCACTGAAGTATTTGCAATGCCATGCAAATTGCAGTGTTACACAAACACAAGTTATTAATCATTTATTATTCTTATAGACAAGGAAGCTTAGCTTCAGAGATAGATTAAACGACTTGACCAAGGTCACAAAGTTATGCTTAGTGGCATGACAGGCAATGAACTTTAACATATGTGGCTAGGCATGTGTCAAAGCTATAAACATGTGGTCCCTAGGGAAGCCATGCAAAACAAGACTGAAGCAAGCAGGGAAAGGAAGAAAACAAGACAGACTCCATCGCCCCATATCAGAAGGGAGCTGCCTCAAGCACTCAGGAAAAATGAAACCACTGGAAAAAACATCACACATTACACAGCTACAAGGGAAAACAAAAAAGCAATAGTTTTCAATGATAAATTACCCTTAGGCATATTTAATTAGATAGATGTCAGTCTTTTTCAGCCAGCCTTAAAAAACATAAATTAATATGTCACTCTAAATTTAACAGCATACAGAAATAATAGGTTTAGATTTTATTTTTATCCCAATTATAATTTCAGAGTAATCCAAGAAATGACTACCCAAATATGACTAAATGAACACATTTACTCTATCTCAGCACAGGAGTGGAAACAAGACAAGCTAAAGAAGAGAAAAGAGACAGCTTTTGGTATGAACTCTGTTGAGCGGGCATCCTTGGCTACTTAGGAAAATCAACGATTCTCTAAGCCTCCTAGAATGGCAATGGGAAAATTATCTTTGTTGCTATAAAAAAAAATCTTCAACAGAGGAGCTTCATATGAACACACATGAAATATTAATATAATATTTAATAAAGAGCTAGGATAATTTTCAAAAAATGTAGTAAAGCCCTTCATAAACATTTTACAAATGAACTTTAAGATATACTTAACCTCTAACTAAAGAATTAAACTATAGAAATCTTAGATGCTCAGACTCGGGTGCACTTTGCCGGGACTAGGCTTTCTTCAGCACGCTCAAGTCTCACCTTCTTTACCCATTCCTGGGGGTATCATCTTCCTGCTACTCACACAGATACCCTTAAGGTGTTTTCTTCCTCTCTGCAAATCTGATCTCCAGACAGACTGGGAAATATCCTTACCAAGGAGTAAAGGATTCACGATACTTCAAAGGAGTTATGCCCCCTTGTATTTTCTTTTTATTAGACTTTGTTTTTTAGAGCAGTTTTAGGTTCACAGCAAAACCAAGCAGAAAGTACAGAGTTTCCATATACCACACCCACCCTTCTCCCCCCTGTATTTGAATAGATATCAAACACTAAAACAAAAGTAAGAATTCTTAATCTGGGGTCTATGGAATGCATGGATGGTCTTCATAGGGTCCGTGGTCTCCCAGATATTGTATACTGAATTTTGTTTACAGGTGTACATACAGTTTTTAGGAAGCAGGTCTCATCAAGTTCTCGAGGGCTTGGTATTCAAAAACAGCTAAGGCCACTAAGCTAAAGAATGAAGTTCAAGGTCCAGACAGCAGGTAGAAAAACTAAAGGAACTATTTTGGGAGCAGAGAGGCTTTACCTGTGTCCCTAAGATCACACCCCATAGGTGTCTGCCATGGCAAGTATCAACGTAACCCAGGCCTCAGCTTCAACGGGGGCCACAGACATACCCTAGTTAAATAAATTACAACCAATGAAACAACTTTCAAACATCTGATGACCTCTTTCTTTCTTTTTCCATACCTTTAAAGCTTCTATAACAAGGTCCCTCGCTTCAAGTTCTCCTTCAAGAATACTGAATAGTGTCAGGAGCTCAGGCTTACTGAGTTTTTCCAGATTCATCCTGAAAGCCTAAAACAAAGACAACAGTCAATCTCCAGAAGACAGAGTTAATTTTATATTATTAAAGAAAAAATACAGTGAGACAGATAAGAAAGGAGCAACAATTACAGTGTAAAATGCTTTAAGAAAGGAAATGGTTACAGTTAAATAGAAAAATAAGAGCTTTCTGACGTTAATCACAAACTGAGCAGTAAGAGAAAATAAAATTCACTTTAATTACTGATTTCATCAACACTCACAAAGATCAATTTTTCATCATTTTTCCTCCAGTCATTATTTACAAATATCCTAGAAGGTCTCAGAAAGAATTAGTCACTAATTTTGTTCACTAGACGTTCAGGTAAAATTGTATTGCAATGAATACTATTCCACTGAAAAATTGTTAGACCACGAAAAGATTTCCCAGTTTTAGATAACCAAATTCCAAAACTGTATATAAAACACTCTGGCATCCCTCTGTAATTGGTCGAAATGAAATCTGAGCAAAGATAATGTTTGATGGGAGTATGAGAGAAATTTTTCTTTTAAATTGTCTACTTTCACAGAGAAATCTATCACAATATTTATATTTCAAATAGTAAAATAAAACAAGTTCAATTATATACAAATAAACTTTTAAATGACCTAAAATATATTGAAGTAAAATATATTGAATCAATATCTATATTGAAAATATAGATATTGAAAATATAGATAGTGATATATATATAAACATCTTCACTGGCCTGGCTACTGCAAACTGAATTTATTTCATTTAATAAATTCACATTTCTACAAAGTCTTGCATCTTTTGAGATATGTTAAATGGGAAATTGCATGGCACAAACTCAATCCTTTCCACAAGATTGATTTCTCACAATCTACACATAGAAGTTAGACTGCTATACAATCTTTAAGAGTCTTCTGACCACTGTGCATGGTAAGATACATTTTATAACTTCCAAAGTAGAGCAAACACTATTTTCCCTCTCCCACTTTTTACTTCCAAATTGCCACTCTCATATCTTTTCTTTAAGGTGAATCACAACATAACTCGTTCACACACCCTCCAGCAATTCCCAACTCCTAGGAGCACAGTACATTTCAGGCGGCACACAAAAGAGTCATTGATTCCTCCCAGAGCTACTGCCTTTAAATGAAGGAGAGCATGTAGAAAACGCATACCTCACTGTGTTGTCAGCTTGTGTTCCAGGACATGCTGTACAAATCTTTTGCCACATGGTAAAATATGTTCAAGGTAACTTCACCTCTAACTGCTAACTTTCTACCTAGGGAGTTTTAGCAACTAATAAGTGATTCTCACTTCAGTGTTAGAGAGACATTTCACGACAGTTATTTTAAAAATAACTAAAAAAACAACAAACCGTATCAAGCTACACTTATATATTAAGATGGCATGCTGGGAAGAGCACGTGGCTTTGTGGTCAGATAGATGCCGGGTCTGCATCTAGCATCTAGCTGTGTGACTTGGGACAAGTGTTCTCATTCTTGGTTTTCTTATCTGTGAAAGGGAGATGATGACAGCTAACTCAAAGGCTGGCTGTGAAGACTGAGTTAAGTAAATGTAAAACATCTTGCCAAGTTCTGATACAGGCCCAACAATGGTTTAATCATTAATAACTACTATCCTCTCTCATTTTTCAAAAGGATTCTGAGAAAGGCATTCCCAAACCTGGGGGCAGCCGAGGTCAGTGACCTCCGAAATACCCTCAGCTGCCCTTCTGTAGTGGGGACCACAAATGCAGAGGGTGAGAGCGTCCTGGAGTGAAGAAGGGGCGGGGAGGGATTTCAACTACCGCTCAAGGGGCACTGGTTTCTCAGACGAAGCACTTCCCCTCTTCCCGATGGTTTCATGTTTCAATGTCTCAGAGAGATTATAGGCAGAGGAAAAATCCTATCATTTTAGGCCTTTCCTTTCTCCTTCCATGATGTTAAGCAGAATAATGGGCACCTGGTAAAGGTACTCCGCAAATACTCATTGCACTGAGGAAACTGAGTGGATACGCACCAAGGCAGGAAGGAAGGAATAGAGTTAAACACAACAGTGTGCACACGTATTAGTCTTTGTTCCTTCAATATCTTCACAGTCCTCAAATATTCTTATATACAGACTCAAAACTGTCACAAAGAAGCAGTGTGATATGAGTAAAACATCACAGGGGGGAGTGAGGAGTGAGAGTTTCAGTCTCAGCTCTGCCACTCAACACCTACACGGCCTCGAGGAAACAATTACCCAGCTGCTGTGGCACTGAGTTTCCTCACCGGTAAAATAAGACAGACTGGCTAATCTCTAAGGTCCTTCTGGGTTCCATTCTAACCCTTCACAGGTAAAAATCAAGAATTATTTCTTAGAGAATCCTATTAAATATGAGTGAGAGGTAAATACACAAAGAACTAAAACAGACTGTACCTAAATCAAAGTCTTTGATCTGTTGTGATAAATATATAGCCTCATAAAAGAGTAAAATTGAAAATTGAAACAATCTGCATTGTCACTTTAATAATAAAACAGTCCAGCCTAGGTAGGAAAAATTCTTTTCTTTGTCAATGGCACGAAGAACAATATCCTTGTTATCTCTACATTTGTAAATCACTTCTATATACCAATTTTAATACCTGGAACATTCTGCTAATGTGTACCAACTCATTTAGCTTACTGTCTACATGAAGTGGATACAGTATAAATATGACACAGGAGGAAAAAAACAGCCACAGCTCTGTAATTAAAAAAACAACAGGTCTGGTTTCCCATAACCTTTCTTTCTAAATATTAAAATTTAGCAGTTCTTTACATTTTTATCTAATCTCAATACATGAAACATTGCAATAAATTTTTGTCTGAAATACAAACGAAAGATAGTAAAACTGCATTATGTTTTAAGATGGCAGTGATATTCCCAGGGGTAGGGGTGATACTGACCTGATAATTGGCAGTCACACTTCAGTCCTCAAGTATAAATTCTTAAGGTTTTTCTTCAATTACAATTTGAGAAAATTGACAAATATAGTTAAAATGCCGTCAGCATGGTGGAAAAGTGTCCAATACTGCAAAATAATAAGAAATTTATTGTCTAGGTGACCATACTACAAACAATTTGGTAAAGCTCATGAATGTCAACTGTCATTATAGCTGATGTGGCCAGACAGCTGTAGGTTGATACAGACAAGAAAAAAGAAAATAGCCACTTCTTCAAATTGAAGCTGAGTGATACAGGAAAGACATCAGGAATCTGACTTCCCCTTTGCAATTATAATTAGGAAAAGTAAGGACTTTCAAAATCTTTTTTACTTTAAGATGTCCACTGTTATTTCAAGAACTTATGAACGTCACTAGATGAAACTGACTTTCTCTCCCTGAACTGACAAAAGCCTATCGGCTTGAATCACCATGACTTCTGTACAGTGCACTCGAGAGAAAATAACATGATTACAACTGAACTTTGCAAACTGCCAAATCCACGTGAGGACAATTCTCATCCCCTCACCGCATACCAATGAATAAACAAAAAAATCAAGCTGTCACCATCTCAGCTTTGTCTGTAAGGGTGATTACTCACCCCAGCTTCTACTTTTTCTGATTTACTTTCAAGTATTAAATGTTGAATTATATACAAATTTTTTGTTGATGTTTTCCTAAGCGTGTATTAGACTCAGCAAACTCTTTTAAAAAATTATAGGCTTTAAATTTTATTTGATAAAGCAATTTTTGTGTTGTATTTTAAAGTACCAAGTCTATTTTACTCTACTTTCTGCCCAATGTATAAATTATGTGGCCCACGATTTTCATAAAAAGGCTGTTTCTAACTCCATATTCATTATCAGAAGTATGATTGCTAGATTTTTGGCATGCCATATTGTAGTCTATAGACTCATTCTCTACTTATTTTCTAAATAAGCTGTTACTTGTCATTGTCATCATCCATTAAGTAGCTCTGAAAGACAAGATCATTTCAACCAAATGCTCATTCCTTCCATTAGAACCTTTCCAAGACCCAACTTTCCTTAGAGTTTCGAGGCAAACATTTTTGTCTAAGGAATGCTACGGTCTATAAATTTGAAATAAAAACCATTTGTGGACAAGTTGTCTGGATACATTATCGTACACTGTGGTACAGCTAGCCTTAGCTGTATTAAGCTTTACAGTTTTCTCAATTAAAAAATACATATAATAAAGGGGCTGGCCCCGTGGCCGAGTGGTTAAGTTCGCACGCTCCCCTGCAGGCGGCCCAGTGTTTCGTTGGTTCGAATCCTGGGCGCGGACATGGCACTGCTCATCAAACCACGCTGAGGCAGCGTCCCACATACCACAACTAGAACAACCCACAACGAAGAATATACAACTATGTACCGGGGGCTTTGGGGAGAAAAAGGAAAAAATAAAAAAAATCTTCAAAAAAAAAAATACATATAATAGAAAAGACAAAGTTATATATATTTTAATACCCTGGAAAAATAACCCTATTTATAGGCTAAGTATGAAACTTATTTTTAAGTTATCAGTAAATGATTTCAAGCATGAGTTTGCCCAGCATACCATTTGGTCTATTCACATGCTACCTCCCACCAAGTCAGGGCCAACAGCCAGGAGGGCATGAGTCTCCTCTCTATGAACTTTCACGTGCCCACAGTCACAAGAGCTATAGGTACCAGGAAGGGCACAGCCCCATCCCCCGTACCTCCTAAACGGCTGTGCTGATTTTGCCACGGAAGTATGCTGCTGTGGCTCCGGCTCTGTTCATTTTATTCTGACCTTTTCCCTTCTTCGGATAATACCTAAATTCCACTCGTTCTGGTTCTGGTTGTGCATTCTCTTTCTTGAGGAGGTCCCAGCTTTTGCTCTAGAACTCTGAATTAATTCTACAGGATAGCAGGTATTGTTGTTGTGTTTTTTTTACCACATAGAGATTGGGTGGCAGAAAAATAAACAACCCAAACAGCTTCTATAGCTATGTAAACAGTAGGGCAGGATAGGGTGGAGTACAAGTAAGATGTCTGTCTCTCTAGTATCTGGGTGTATGTATGTCTTTATGTGGAACTGAAGGCTTTATTTCTAAGTGGTAGGTGATATGGGACACGAAAGAGGAAAAACATTTTTAGATGAGTCTTAGATATTTTGGGACATAGAAACACCTCAAAAAATCTACATAGATTTTTTTTAAATCAACTTGGCTGGTATAAAAAACAAATCAGTTGTTTTACACAGAAGATCACTCCTGTAAAACTGGATAAAAATCACTCAGACATCAAATTTAAGAAATTTTTAAAAAATCAATTTTATTTTATTATTTTATTTTTTTTGGCAAGGAAGATTGGCCCTGAGCAAACATCTGTTGCCAATCTTCCTCTTTTTGCTTGAGGAAGACTGTCGTTTCGCTGAAATCCGTGTCAGTCCTCCTCTATTTTGTATGTGGGATGCTGCCACAGCATGGCTTGATGAGCAGTATGTAGGTCTGTGCCTGGGATCTGAACCCACGAACCCCAGGCTGCCAAAGCAGAGCATGTGAACTTAACCACTATGCCACCAGGCTGGCCCCCCAAATTTAAGAAATTTACACTTGGGCTATAACCAACTTGAGATTCAGGCCATTCATTAAGCTTTTAGTATTAGTGATAAGATATGGCAAAGATATAAAGCAAATCTGCTCCAATTACGTAAAGACTGTTTCACATACATATAAGCAAACCCAAAATATGGAAGGCCAGTTAATTCTTAAAATTCAAACAGTCAACACTGACATACAAAATGGGTGTTTTTGACAGTTTTCCATTAGGTAATGTACTTCCTTAAAAAGCTAGTATATATGAAATTTAAAAAAATAAAATAAACGTGTCACATTCATAAACACTAAATCTAAATATGGACAAGAATGTACTGCTATTTTTAAAAATGTATCCAAAGCAACCTCCTATCTGGGGTGGAAGGTGTTGACACATGACCTTGACTATCTCAAAAGATGTACGTTCCCCCATCCTCTGGCACTTCTGGTTTTCAGAAGGGTTATTTACACATTTTAAGATTAGGTCAAGGAAGAAAAACATGTCAAAATACCATCAGAAAATAATTTTCTGATCAAGAAAGCACATCTTTTGTACATTTACTAGAGAGAGTTGGTTTTGCTCTCATTATTCACAAAGGCTTTAAACCAAGGTGTAAAAATGAATCTCATTTTACTGAATTCTATAATACTAAGCAATATAAGCTTTACTACAAATGTCAGATCAATCTTCTGCCAGTTGACGGTAACAGGCATTACTGGATGATTCGGATTTTTATGTGCCTATGTGTTATAACGCGTTATGGGCTGATTTGTGTCCTCTAAAATTCATATGTTGAAGTCCCAATCCCCAGTCCTTCAGAATGTGACTGCATTTGGAGACAGGGCCTTTAAAGAGGTAAGTAAGTTAAAATGAGGTCACTAGGGTGGGCCCTAATCTGACTGGTATCCTTATAAGAAGAGGAAGTTTGGACACAAACCCGGTGTAGGCAAAGCCCATGTGAAGACACAGGGATAAGATAGCCATCTCCAAGCCATAGAGGCCTCAGAGGTAACCAATCCTGCTGACAGGTTGAGTTTGGACTTCTGGCTGCCAGGATTGCGAGAAAATAAATTTCTGTTTAAGCCACCCAGTCTGTGGTACTTTGTTATGGCAGCCCCAGCAAACTAAAAGGACATGTTAACCACTTACTACTTTAAAGACTAGAGGAGCAAGAGGATCTAAGCCTTCCCTGCACCACGAGAGTGCCAAACACATTTCTCAGAACGCCCCGCTTTGTCTTATCAGTCTGCTTTTTCCAGCCACACTATACATAGCATTACATAAAACATAAAGGTTTTGAAACGCCTGTAGAGATTGTAAATTTCAGGGTCCTGAAATATAATCTGAACAGTACACTTACAAAGAAACTACAACACTGCTACGGGATCGAGACGCTTGTTTATCTGGTACTGTCAATAGAGACTTGGAAGTAGGTCTCAAGAAACCAGTTGTGTAATAAAGCTAATTCTCTGTTAGGTCAACATTTAAAACACTTCCAGTACTCTATTCAAATACACAGTGCTCTAATTCAAAGCAGATTCTAGGATAACAGATTTTCTGGATTTATGCTCAGTACAGAAATTAATAATGATATAATTGAGCTTATTAATGTCAATTACCACTACCTCAGTGTTTTATAGCATAGTTTTCTAAGAAGAATTCAAGCGATAATAGTAATAATAAAAAAGATAAATACTTATTGAGCTAAACATTAACGTGTCCCAGCTAGTGTTCTAAGTACTTGGCATGCATTATTCCGTCCTCACAACCACCTTAGGTGAGTAATAGATGCTATAACCATCACCAACGAATTCAGCATCATCCCCATTTTATAGATGGGAAAACTAAGGCATAGAGGCTAAATAACTTGCTCAAAGCCTCACATTTAGTATATGGCAGAAATGAGATTTGAACTTCTGTAATTTGATTCCAGAGGCTTCCTTAGCAACCATTGCTACTTGGTAATAACCGTTCACATCTGATCTTTTCATTTTATCACGCTTGGGGATTGCGTAGTGGAAAAACCTCCGCTAAAATGTGATTCACAAAGCTGGAAGAGACCTCAGAAATAATCTAATTTAGCACTCTCATTTTACAGATGAAAATTGGGGCCAGAGTTGTTAAGTGAATTACTGATGATTACAGTCACATCGTAAAACTAGGCCTTGCACTCATGTCTTTTTAAGATCCAGTCTAATCCACTTTCCGGGACACCATGATGGATATCAGGTTTTTGTTTTGTTTAGCTCTGTTTTAAGATTCAGGCATCTCTGGTGTATCTCTGTGTGTGTGTGCGCGAATGTCTGTCTCTTTCTCTCTCTGTGTGTACGTCTGTTTCTCTCATTGTCTCTCCTATATGTTGGCAAGAAGATTTATACGTATATTGAAGAAAAGGAGGAAGTGGCCTCATGCCCATAAACATTCAAACATCTCTCCCCCAAAATGAGGACATTTAGCACAACATTATTAAAAACAGGTCTGTCTACCTGGATATCTGCTTACACTCTTTCAGGTATTCTCATCTGAGACAAGACCAAACCAGAAGAACTACATTAGTTAAGCTACTGGAATGTATGTTAATGAAAATGATTAACAGTTTTTACATTAATAATGTTTTCATTAAAATGAAAAAGTCTTTTAACATCAGAAAACTACCAGAAGTATGAACCATTTCAAGTATATTTGTCAGTTGCTTTATTTAGTTTAAATGAATTATAACACGGTTTCATTGAAATATGTATATGTCTGTATCATCTACCTGTCCATCATTCCCCTAAATTTTTGTTTTCTAAAATAATGCCACGATGACTTGTAAAATATCACTGTGAGGGAACAATAACATGTAGATTGATTTTATTTCCAGTAAAAGGATTCCTGGGCCACAATTCTAGAGGCAGCCCCGGAATACAAAAACCCTTTAAATGTTAATGTAGGATGAAGTCATTGACTCCATCCGGATTGCAAACTGAGAAGAAACAGAGCGTATGGTATGGAGGATGAACCATAAAACAGTCAAGGCATCTGTGTTTTAGTTATGCCCATAACTTGACTCTCCCTGAACTGGAAACATTTCACAAAAGCCTCTAACAGAAATATTGTAATTGATGATGTTGTTTTGCCTTTTAAATTTTGCCTTCTAAATCAGATCACTGATTTTAAAAAAAGTTTAATAATTTGGTTTCAGTTGAAAATTACCAACAGACCTAGCAATTGTTTTTGCTCCAAGGTTCTTCTAGGAAAATAATTCTGGGAGGCAGTGTGTTGCAGTGGAAAATGCAGGGACTTTAGAGGCCCACAGCCCTGGTTTGCATCCTGACTGCCACTTCATAGTTCCTTGACTCACTTAACCTTTGAGCTTTAAGTTCTTCATCTATAAAATGGGGATAAGAGCACCTACTCTAAGAGGATGCTGAATGATTTAAATGAGTTAGCGACTGCTCAGTTCTCTCATTTCTCATCCCTGGAGAGCATATATTTGGTCTCATCTGCAAGGATAATGCAGTTTTCCTTTTTCCAATGAGTTGTCATTTTCTATCATTCCTGTTTCTAATTTAGAAATCAAAACAAGTTTACTCCTTCTGACTTGACAGGTTGATCTGCTCCAAGAAGGAGATGGCCTGTCCAGTTCCTGGGAAAGTCGGCTTAGGAACATACACAACACTTGTTCAGGCCAACAGTTTCTGCACACTACTTGGCAAAAGAAAAGGACAGTCTTCTGCCTAGACTAGCTTTTGTGACTTTAGGTGAAAAGCATGCTTTTGTTTCCACTGAATTTTTACAGCTTTTAAGCAAGTCACAATTTTACCCTGTAAGACTGAAAAATGGATTTTCTAAAAATATCACAGCTATTTTTTACATTATGTTAAATACATAATGGGTATGTATCTACATTCATAACCCAGAAGCAGTCATCACATGCTCTAGCATCACTTCACCTGTTTACATATCTGTCTTCTGTCTCAGAAGACTCCTCTCTTCTGGACAAATACTCTGCCTTATTCAACTTGATTAAACTTAGCACCTAGCAGTCTGTGGTTCAAAAGGGTACTCAAAAAATGCTCGTTGGAAAGAAATGTCCAGTACAGTACCGTGAGTTACAGCCAACAAAACTGGACTTTACCTTTTAGGAGACGAGACGCTACTAAACATTGTTAAGCAGGTGAATATCATAAAGAAAGCATAGTTTTAGGAAGGTTAAGGCTTGAGGTCCAGAGCTGATTTGACTGAAGAGAAACTGGAAGAAGAAAGAGCATCTGAGAGAAAACTTTAACAGTATAGGTATGAGGCAAAAATGTGTGAACTAGGATGGTGGCAGGAAGAATGGACAAGAAATGACTGATGCTAGGGGCTTCATAAAGAATTTACAGTATGTGCTATTGGTTCTCTTTAAGGAGAGAAGAGGGGAAATAATCCCAGATCAGCTGAGGTTTTAAGACTGGGTGACTAGAAAGATGATGCAATTAACAGAAACAGGGATGTTAGAAAAGGAACTGGTTTTAAGGGGAAAATGATGACTGTGATGTGAGACATGCTGAATGAGAAGTAATTAGACTGCCATGAGGAACATGTTAAGTCTGTCAGTGGGGTAAATGCTATAGGTTTAGAAGTGGGTAAGTCTCTGGGGATGGAGCCTTTTCAGAAAACTTCTGTGACTTCAATTTAAGAACAAAAGGCAATAGGAAGAAGCCGACTCATAGAACTAGACCAGATCATTTTTGTACCCTCAAATATTAAACCAGTTAAGAATCAAATTGGTTCTGTTCTCACTCCTGTACGACCTACTGCCACAGAAAGGACCACTTAGCAGAAACCAAGAAATGGGGCACCCGCCCTGATCAGAAAACAAAGTTAGTGCTTCTCTCTTTTTCCTACAACTCACCTGTCAGTTATCCTTAATTCTTCTCTCCTTTATAACCGAGAGTTCCCATCTCTTGTTAAAACTATTCACCCCGCTCGCTTCTCCCTTCTGGACTCCTCCCGCCCCGGGTCTCATCTTTCTGGAGAGCAGACCCAGAGCACACTTCTGCCTGGCCTTCCCCAGCAGCTTTGCACAAGCAATCTATGCAGATGCTCCCAAAGATCAGGGTCAGGAGTCTTTCTTCTCTGCAAACCCCATCATCCTGTGTGCTCCTATTTTCCTAGTTTCCATTGAACTCAGTAACAATTAAGGATTATATTCTCTAAACTCAGTAACAATTAAGGATTACATTCTCTGTGGCTCCAGAAGTCAGAAAGGATTCATTTAGCAGCAAAGAACACATTTAGACTGGAAGCTTTGGCTTTGTACCTGAAATACAGTTTGGAAATACTTGGCAGAGAGGAACCACATTACTGCATTCTTTCCTGCAATGCCTGCTTGTAGCCCTGTTTTCCTCAATCCACAAACCCTTGTCCCCGACCCCCGCCCTCCACTCTTAACTCCCCTAGCCCCGGCTCCTTCTTACCCATTTTGGTTGTTCCTATGACTGCTCCTTACGTTTGGGGCAGCAGGGGAATTGTCTTCAAAAGGCAAAAATCACTTTCATCAAAATTACCATTGAAAATCCCTTAAATCTCACAGAAGGTACAACCCTGCACTGTAATGACATGTCCACAAAACCATTTATATTACGCTCAGGAGGAGGTACTTAAGACAGGAGAGCTGGGAGTGGAACAATGGACAATTTGGAGAGAAGATTTCAAATGGCTGAATCCCCTGCCTTTCTTTTTCCTGGGCCAAAAATTTCAAGGCAGATAATTTGAATGACAAAATTATGAAACACGCACACTATGAAGGCAGACACACTCTTCTAAAAATCGTTACACCAGATGTCTGAGATTAGCATATATAAGCTTTGTTTCCCTCCACTTAGGAATCTTAGCTATGTATTGAAAAATTTAAAACAAAACCAACCAACAACTAAAAATCAGACACTAATTCTTCACCCTTGCTAAAATGCTAAAGGAGGAAAAGAATATTTAATATTAAATTCTTTAACTCACATGCAAAGTGCTAATAATAATGACAATAATACCTACCGATTACTGAGTGCTTCCTACATGCTAGGTACCTTGCTTTGTGATTTATATACGTATTAGTTCATGCAATCCTTAAAAAAACCCTCAAAGTTATTTCCATGTCACAGCTGAGGAAACTGGGAGGTGGTGAAGACAGAAAACTCTGCTCTGGCCCTGGGTCACACCGTGAAAGCTGCAGAGTTGGGATTTGAACCCAGGTTTGCCTTACAGTCTGGGCTGTAAATGACCACACTCTACAGCCTCACGCTAAGAAGTCATTTTCTCACTGAAATGCTTAGAACTGAAACTGGGAAGACTTGATTTTTAGTTATTAGCAGCAAACATTCAGGAAATAAGAAAAAACAGCCGTTAGAAACAAGCTGACAAGCCATTCCTGGGATCACTCACCACAGACTGGACAAATTTCCTCTAGAAATAAATCTCTGCTTCTTGTCTCATGCCACCAGACACCATTTCAATGGTAACCCCAGAAACACCACTCTGCTCCACTCAGAAAAGCCAAGAATTCCAATCTTGTTCTGCAGATTAACCGGTGGCACTGCAAACCAGATTCTGCCAAGACATAAACCCGTTGTGGGCTGTGCACCATGCCTACCGTAATCAGCATGAGTCCGTTCAGAGACCCGATGCTGCTGATGCCCCGGTCACGTATTTAGCGCTAGTTCAGAAGCACCAAATCAACTAAAAATCCATTAAAATAAAAAGTCCCAAAGTAGATCAGTAACTTGTCAAAACCAAACACGGAGAAAGTGTTCTTAAACAAAAATCAGCACTCAGTTCCTGGCGTGCTCCCCTAAATTCACTTCACTCGTCTCGGGTCAGAGTCTTAGAAAAGTAAAATCCTAAAATGACGAGCACTGATTACATTAATACGTCTGGTTCAGATTTCATCGTGGCAAAATTATAAACCTAACCAGCAGCTATTTTCTTATAGGAAATTCAATATTTTAGAGTCTATTAAGATATTGGAGTTTCAGAAGATAGAAGATAGGGAAAATAAAGTTAAATTAAGACAAAAAGTGGACTGTTTATAATAACAAGATGTGCCTTATCAGTGGAGCATGTGTCCAGTCTACTCTAAGGGGACAGATTCAAACGAAGTGCAACACACACTCATTAAGTCAAACTATATACTAGGCATGTGAAAGACACAAAGATGAAAAAAACCCATACTACCTGCTCACAAAGAATTTTTAATTTAATGAAATAGAGTAAACATATACATAAAAATTCTCCGCATACAGTGCTTTTCTTTATCTAACATGACCAAACAGGTGTTGAAAAAAGCTAGAGGAAAGATTTCTAAGACCCAAATGTGTACCAACTTGCTTATTGTGCCAAATAATCACAGAGCATCATTTGCTTTTTCCTCTCTGCTCTTGAAGGCCCTGGAAATCACTCCTTTGATTTCCTCAGACTCTTACCTTAGTTTACTTTCTGTTCTCACTCAGATAATAAGATGTATCTTTTTTGGGATTTCCTGTTCTGCTTTTAGTTTTTCTCTGCTGCCATTGCTGGTGGCCCATGTCTTACCCTCCTATTGCAGGACACTTTGTGTTTGCTGAAGACCCTCCACATAGTTTCTTCTCTATGCTTTTTCGTTGGAATCTGGAAACAATCACTAAACAGATCTGTGAGCTCTGAGAGTGGCTCTGAAAACTTCGAACCTAACTATTCAAAGGTAATTACCTTCAGTAGGCCTACCTTCAGATAGTCTCACCAGGAAGGTAAAAGACAGCCATCATAACAGACTCTGCGATTCCACCTCCCTGCATCTCATTGCTATCAACTTTGGCTACAGATAACAGTAGTACGATGGACTTCAGATTGAAAGCAAAAGAAACAATGCTAAAAAATATGGCAAATTTGAATGTATGAAAGTGCTAGGAATAGAGATTACCGAGGATTCAATGGCATTAACATTAGGCCCAAATCATCAATATTTTTGCAGCTGCTGAATTGAAGGCCAACTTGACAAAGCCTTTATGAGCACACTACAGAGACACTTTCCGGTAGTCACACGTGCGTGAATAGCTGGAGTTAACCTTGCTTTTATTTATCCTTATCTCTGAGATTTAAAACTTGCTATTACTTTTCATCCCCTGAATTTTGGTCGATGATATTGGTCTTGTAAAATCAATCAACAACATCATAAATGTATCAGTTTCACCTAGAGGGAAAAACCCACCATAAAAGAGGGTCTACAGAGTAACCAAAGGCCACAGGACCAGATTAATCATAAACCTAGACGACTGAACCTGAATTGTCTTCAAACACTTCCTGCCTTTTGTTTCAACAGAACTATACCTTCAAGGTTAACTGCAGTCTCCCCGAGCAACAGCACAGCCCACCCTAGACCGGGAGATACTCACTCCTAATCTACCGCTCTTTATTTGATTATCTATACTGTTTCCTTTGAAAGCCCGCTGTTACTCACTGACAGTCAAACAATATATACTGCATTCCTACCCACACAAGGCCAACTCCACAGATACCCAACACACCCACTTCACTGTGAAATATAAAAGGATGGTTTTTCATCAAGTTCTCGGGGAAGAAATAGGATGGAAAGCAAAAATGAAATGCAACTCAAACCTAAAAAACCCTTAGAAGCTGGGTTCTCCGTCAAGGAATAGAGAGTAGAGGGAAGGTACAAGGGGCGGGGGGTCTGGGGAGTTACTATTTCTCCTTCTTCTAGTCTAAAAAAGTCCCGAAGCAGATGAGCTCTCGACTCAGTGGAGAACAGAGGATCCGAGGGGCTTCAGGAGGAAAGCTGAGGGTCAGAGAATGGGGGATGGGAAGAGCGAAGCGGGGGAAGGCCGCTTCGTCTGTGGAGCTGGCAGTCTACATCGGGTCTCCGATTTTTGCTTCGCCCCATCTCTCTTTTTTGGAAAACACTGACATCTTATGGCTGAAACCAGCTCTGGTGTCACCTTAGCGAGCGGGGACAGGTGTAGGGAGGGATGTCTGGCTTCCTGGGGGTACAAAATGGGGTTGGGAGCGGCAGCCTAGAGAATGGGAACCTGTGCGCCCTCCCCCAAGGTTGAGGCGCTGGGCGAGGGGTCCTTTAGATGAGGGGTGTCAGGAGGGAAGCCCATTCTGCGGAGCTGGGGTTACCGGGAGACAATAAGTAGCCGCGAGGACCCTCGGAGGATGAGGAGCCGCCTCCTCAGGGAATACCGGGAGGTGGAGGAGACGGCCCCGCCCCCTCAGGGGTTGGGCGCGAGCGGCAGCTGGGATGGTGGTGGGAGGACACCGGTGATCCCATCTTTGTTTTTCTCTTGAGGACCCGGCCACCCAGCCACCGCCAAACCCCAGCTCCACCGGCTCCTACCTTTTCCCGGCGCTCCGGGCTCTGCTCCCCGCCGCCTCCGCCACCCGCTCCCATCCACAGCCCCCTGAGGCCCCGCCCCGCAGCCGCCAAGCGGGGGCGCTGGCGTTCACCAGGGCCAATCGCCGCCTCGCCTCTCCAGCCCCAGCACCAATCCGCGCCGGCTGGAGGAGGGGCTTCTCCAGTGTCATTTAGGCTCCTCCCGGGGCCCCAGGATCCCTTTTGTTTGGGGAGAGCCAAGCAGGGATTGAGTTCGCGTCACTTCCGGGAGGAAGCGTCCTCCTCTGGCCCGGGTTTGGGGGTGGGCTCGCGCCCCTCCCGGCCCGGCTTCTGCAACTTTGTACCTTCTCTGCAGTTTCTGGGGAGGACCGTAGAGAGTGCTCGGTGCTTTACCCTCGTGGTCCGGGAAGCTTAGGACTGGCGGGCTTCGGGTTCCCTGACTGATTGGGCACAGTAACGTTTCAGTCCCTCCAAAATGTTAATAAATGAAGCGCGCATTGGTGTCTGCTGTAGAATTGGTGTTGAAAACCTGGTAAAGTGGCTTCCCTGCTCTCTTTTTTTCTTGGACGAACTAGTGGGTGTGGTGCTAGAAGCAAGGGCGCAAAGATGAAAAGCCCGAAGACCCTTTTCTCTTTTCACACTACGTTTGGAAGAGAACACTACCTCTGGAGCCCCTGGGCGGGGAGACCGACCCAGCCCAACCTGCCTTCCAGGTAGAAGTCAAATGAATACTTGCAAATGTGTGTGTCAAGGTTTACCGTGCTATGCTTGCCAGATGAGGGGTCATTTTTGTGTTCTTGTCCCCGTGGTAATGTGGACAATGGTTTGCGGTGAGGCTGAAACAAAGGAGAGTGTAGAGGATGTAAGGAGTTATCTGTCCCTTCTTGTGAAGACAGGAATGCTGGTGGCAGCAAGCCCTACCACGACCAAATATCCCGGAGGGGAGAGGGTGCATCCCTATCTGAGATCAAGGTTTCTGCATTCTTTTCCCTGTTCACAGATTGATTCAGCTGGTTGAAAGAAGAATAACCACATTATTTTAAATATAATATAATAAATGCCTTTTAATTTTAATATCTAATACAACTAAATATAATATTTAATACAATTAAATATAATGCATAAATACTGTATTAATTTTAATACATTATTCCTAATCTTAACAATTTTTACTAAGCAAGGCAGTATTAGGGGCCTAGCACCTCCGGAGACCCTGCCGGTGCAGCCCTGCCCTCATGCAGTTTACGGTCTGGTAGGGGGATGTGGTCAGTCTGTGCAATCACAGGGAAGTTTGAAGAAAGTAAACCAGTATTTGTGTCATTACTGTGCCAGATACTTTCATACAATGATATCTTATTTAATCTTCACTACTATATAAAAAAAATCTTGCCTAACCTAAGATAGACATCACTATGCCCATTTTAAAGATGAGAAGATAGAGATTCAGAGAAATCAAGTAAAGTCATAGAACTAGTAAATGGTAAAAACAAGAACTTCCAACAAGGATGTGTGACTCCCAACCTGTGCCGTATTGTGCTCACCACACCCTGGCTCTCACAAGGAGCGCTGGTCTAGAGCCTGGGCTGGGATGACTATAAAACCAGCTTTAGAGCCAGAGAAATCTCTGTGCCTGCCCGTACTGATTGTGGCCCTGAAAGGGGCATCTCTGTATATGAAGGACAGCAAGGTTTACTGAGGTCCTCAACAGCAGCCCAAGTACTATGGAAGTAATGAAGTAAGAAATTCAGAATGTCAGAAAGACATCATTCCCTGGGTTCAGGAGACCGACTATCTGGAAGAGAAGGATGCAGGGCCAGGCACATAGTAGCTGGTTAATAAGTCCTGACAACTTGAAACAAAATGTCTGAAATGGTTAAAAACACAGAGTGTTAGGCGCTGGAATAGGCCCATGAATTTGAAAAATCCCATTTCCTCCTCCTCCCTTTGCCCTGCCTATGGGTGTGCAATGAGGAAGTGCCTCATTGCCTGACAATGAGACAGATGTGGGAGAACAGGCTATTTTCTGCTGGCTTCTGAGTCACTCTGAGAATTGTCCCAGTGAATCAGCTCCCCCCCCTCCCCCTCCCTCCCTTTGTAGTTGTTAACCCGCCATCTCCCATTCTACCCCAGGCTGCCCCGCAGGCGCTGTGCTCTGTTGCTTACTTCCTCTCCAGCCCCTGGCAGCCCCCTGACTCTCTGGGCTCCCTCCTGCCCATTCCTCAGTGACTGTGGGAGGACCCGGCAAGAATGAGATCATCCCTGCCTTGTAGGAGTCAGAGTCCTGAGGGCATTCAGATGGCTTTCCTTTTAACTCAGCACCCCTGGAGGTAGCAGCCTTGAGAGAGAGTTCTGGAGTTTGTGATTCTTCAATATACAAAACTTGTAAATAGGGGCTGGCCCTTGGCCGAGTGGTTAAGAACACTCGCTCTGCTTCGGTGGCCCAGGTTTCACCGGTTCAGATCCTGGGTGCAGACATGGCAGCGCTCATTAGGCCATGCTGAGGCAGCATCCCACATGCCACAACTAGAAGGACCCACAACTAAAATATACAACTAGGTACTGGGGGCTTTGGGGAGAAGAAGAATAAAAAAATTTAAAACATTTTTAAAGAACGTGCAAATAAATTTAGAGCCTGGTACAAAGGTATAAAAGGAGGCAGAAAGTGAGTTCATAATAATATCTTGAATTGGTATAACACACTGTACCATTTTTATATCTTTTTTTTTTTTGAGGAACATTAGCCCTGAGCTAACATCTGCTGCTAATCCTCCTCTTTTTGCTGAGGAAAACTGGCCCTGGGCTAACATCCGTGCCCATCTTCCTCTACTTTATATGTGGGACGCCTACCACAGCATGGCTTGCCGGGTGGTGCCATGTCCGTATCCGGGATCCAGGCCGGCGAACCCAGGGCCTCAAAAGCAGAACGTGGCACTTAACCGCTGCGCCACCGGGCTGGCCCCTATATCTGTTATTTTATCAACTTGCTAGTAAATATTAAATGCCTTCTGTGTGTCAGGCAACAACTTAGTAAGAAGAGGTGAAGATTATAGACCATGTCAATTTTTCTCCAAGTAGGTAAACTTCCCAGGTAGGTGATCCGTAAGTGTTTTTTGCTGGCGCTGATGGAGTAAAAGAAGGCTAGGTTGGAAGGGAAAAAACCTGGGGTTCTGTCGGAGTTCTCCCTCTGTCACAAACTCAGTTTCCTAGGGCTGCTGTAACAAATTACCACCAACTGGGTGGCTTAACACAACAGAAATGTACTCTCTCTCAGCCTGGAGGCTACACGTCTAAATCAAGGTGTTGGCAAGGTTGGTTCCTTTCGGGGAGAGGGGGCAGTCTGATGGAGGATCCATTCCACGCTTCTCTCCCAGCTTCTGGGGGTTCCCGGCAATCCTTGGCTTGTAGCGACATCACCCCAGTCTCTGCCTCTGTCTGGGTGGGCTTCCTCCCTCTGTGTCTTGATGTCTCTATATGTCCTCTCCTCTTATTGGATTTAGAGCTCACCCTAATCTAGCACAACCTCGTCTTAACTCATGACATCTGCAAAGACCCTATTGGCAAACAAGTTCACATTCTGAGGTTCCAGTTGGACATGAATTTTGGGAGGGGAAACCATTGAAACCAGTGCTCAAACCTTTGCAAAGTAACATCCCCGCTTAACGTCATCTAACTGCATTAGTAAATGGCATGAGAGTAACAAACGAATTCCTAAAGATCATTTCGGTTCTATGATTACATGAAAATTATATACGCTAGAAGCATTTCTTGAGCCTTTATGCCAGGCACTATAAAACTGCTTTACAGTACATCTCACTTAATCCTTAAAAGAATCCCAGGAGATAGATGTGAATATTTCCATTTTACAAGATGAAGAAATTGAGGCATAGAGAGGCCCATGGTCGTGGAATTCCTAAGCGATGAACATAGAGTATTTACTCAGATCTGACTCCAAGGTGCACCCTCATAATTACTATGCTGCATCATCTTTTCTTTACGCTAAATGGGTTAGGAAGATGGGGAATGCAAGAAATATTTTAAAGTTTGATTTATGGAATACTCAGAGTTGAGTAGCAATCTCCCTGGGGTTATGCGTGCAGTTTGGACCGCTTTTAAAACAAGGGACAGCAAGAGAGGAGGGAACAGTGGGTGGCAATGAAAGCTTGGTAGGGAAGAGGGTACTTACTGAACCTCAGTCTCCTCATTTGTAAAATGGAACAGTAGTTCCTGCCTACAACACCAGGTGGTTGTGAACATCCAAGTGAGATGGGGGACATGAAAGTACCTAGTAAAGTCTATGAGGGATTATTGTAAACGACCTGGGAGATCTTGCTCTAGCTGTTTCTCCTTCTCCCCGTCTCAGCCCTCCAGCTAAATATCCGGGGTTTGAACATCTGGGGCTAAGACTCCTTCTAGCTGTGACCCACTGGGACTTGTTAAGATGCTGGATGAGCTAGATGGAGAAGCTGGAGTGACTGGGAAAAGTGACCTGGCCTGTCTTGCCTACCTCCTGTTCCTCAAGCCTCCACCCGCCTCCTCCCCCAGGGGATCTGAAAGTCGCAGTCTGGAGCCAGAGAGGGCTCTCTTGGCCGGGACCAGGCTGAAGCGCGAAGGAAGGTGTGCTTTCCACGGCTCCCTGCATTTTCTCCCATCATTTGTTCGCACAAAGGGCTTTCGGAGTTGTCCTTAAGCGTTCTCTTCCTGCTTGGATCGGCCCAATCCGGGCGACACGGCACAGGGGTAGTTGAGCGATTTCTGGGCGTGGCCCTCACTGTGTTCCCAAGCGTACTGCTCCCCCTAGTGCTGAGCGGTGAGTCCTGCAGCTGTCAGCTTCCCTCTTGGACGACCCAGGGCGCTCGAGGGAGGCCTCTCACCTGACAGTTTTTCCTTTAATGGGCGTGGCCTGAGATCACAGCAGGTGTGGGGTTCCAGGCACCAGTAGTTCGGAAAAACCACGTTCAGGGACAGATTCTTCTGGTTTTTAGTTAAATGTTGGGGCCAGCTTGGCCATGAGGGAGCCAGGAAACTCTTATCCTGGATTGCGTAGGGGGAGGTTGGAAAGGAAAGGAAAAGAAATCTAACATCAAATGCCTACTATCTATCAGGCCAGGTGCTTTACGTAAATTACATGTATAATCCTTGTAATCTTTACGTATATAATCCTTTACATATATAATCCTCGTGACCATCCTAAGAGGTAATTGCTATTACTTCTAGTTTTTCGAATAAGAAAGCAAGTTCAGAGATGGTAAGTGTCTTGCCAAAGGTCGTAGAATAACAATAACAATGACAACATCAACCATTTAGTGCCTACTTCACACAGGGCACATTATTTTTTTAATCCTCGCAGCAAACCTTTAACATAGTTACTATAATCTCCATCTTACTGATGAGGTCACTGAAATTTGGGTAGTTTAAGAAAGACATAACTGAGAAGCTTGACTGAGATCAAAGAGCTAGGTCCTCCTGACTCCAGCCCCACACTGTTTCCTTACCACCCTTGCTTCATGGAGCTGGTGGGTGGTAGAGGTGGAACTGAGCCCAGGCCTGTGTGACTCACTGTTCTTTCCATTACTGGGACTGCCTGGCAGCCCTTCCCGACAACCAGGAAACTAGGGCCATGTGATGTTATGGATTTCCAGACTTGAGATAGGATGGCAATGAAAGAGCCAAGGCTGAAGTCTGTGGGATCCTGGAGACAATTTGCTTGGGGTAA